ATCCATTCCCGTCCCCTCGCCGCCAGGAACTTCCATGACATGATGACACCTCGCACCGTACACAGACGCGCACAATCCCCTAAGTTTTATCGGTGCACTCGACTTCTTTGGGTTTCTCGCTTCCTCAAGGGCTGCATTCAAGAAACCTTTTGGTGACTACATGAACATTTGCTTTTACCTCCGCAGCCGCCACCAACCACTTCAGTAGATTGTCCACACCTTTCTCGTACAGCCTGTGTACATCTTCCTCCATATCCATTTCATCCCTCACAGCCCTCTCCATCCTTACATAACGATCCGATGCCTGTATTTCTTTCAATACTCCCGCATCGCAAATATACTTCTTGGAGTCCTCAAAAAACTCCTTCAGCAAAGACATCCCGATTGGCGTCCATAGCGCCCCTGCCGTCCAATTCCATCGCAAGAAAGTCATTCAGCCTCATTTTATTTACGTGAACCCTTCCTTCAAACACCGCATCATCACTGCTAGTGTGAATGGTAATTCCCAGTTCTTGTCGTTCTCGCCTTGCCCTTTCCTCCGCCTCCCGCCGCTTTCCTCTCAGTACCCGAAAAAAGGCTGTGTTTATTTGTGCCCTTGCAAGAGGAGTGGCCGTATCTTTTTTTTTAAGTCCCTCCATTCCCTGAGAGTGACAATAAATTCTTTTTTAGGCTTATTTGAAGCCCCCAATAGCATGTAAAACTCCTCACGCTCTTTTTCCAGCTCTTGATATTATGGCCGCAATGCCTTTATTGTCCTCAATAACACTTCGTCTTGAACGAACTCATTGGGGCTAATTAAAAGCTCTTTCATATAGACTTTCTCATTGAATTCCACAACGCCCCTGTCGTCAAAATAATTCCAAAGGAAATCATTCAGCCACGTTTTGGTGATGCGCTCCTTTCCCTCCAGCAGCACTCTTTCCACCCGACGGTCAAAAGTCCACTTTGGTCGCCCTTTACTCCCCGCCACATGTCGAGTCGCAGCGTCGAAACCATCACCAGAGCCGCTGCGAGGCGCCACCACAACACCCGTGTGGTGAAGCATCCCACTCGCACCGCCCAACTGCGGCCAACAGGCGCCGCTGGCTCCAAAGGACAGTCGCGGCTGTTTCGTCCCGCAGTCCCAATGACGTTGGGCGTGGCACTCGCACGGCTCGGTGGTCGGTGCGCCACGCAGCCGCACTGCAAAGCATGTCGGTGAAGCAGTCGAGGCCCACAGCCCCCGCAGCAACACGAGGCGCAACCAACCCCAACACCGCCACATTATCGACCTTTTTTATTTTGTTTTATTCACGTTGTCGGTCTGTTTGCCTCATCACCGACACCAAAAATAAGTGCGCACCTCCACAGAAGGGAAGGAACAAAGAGAAAAGGAGGCACGATCCCACCGTCCCGCCGCGGGCCAACACTCTCTTCTACCCACCACCATTGCCGCGCATGAGACCGCACTCACATCGCAGAGGAAGCACCACAATGTGCACCGCACCATCGTGCAGTGAACGATGGGCGAGACGCGGCCAGGCATCGCCCCGCTCCATTTTCCCACCCTTAAGTCTTGCATGCCCGCAAAAAGCAGCAAACAGAATCAGAGTGCACACAAACCGAATCATCCCCTCACTCGCTGAAGCACAGTATTCGCATGGAGTGGCATTTGAACACACCAGCAATAGCAGGCCGCATGCAATTTACCTGCCAACCCTGCAAAGAGACACAACAACTCTGCGGAGTAAAAGTGGCAGCCCCTCGGTGCTGCCCGCAGTTCACATGGCAGGAAGAATTCCACGCACGCATAGTTCCGGATCCCTCGCTGTTTGAGTGCACAACAGAACATGTGAAAAAAATACCTGCGCGCAAGATGACGTTTAAATACGTAAAAAACCCAGCCTGCTTTCTCCGATGGCGTTGGCAAGCAGTCCCACACAATCCAATCAAAGTGACACGCCGGACAGAATGGCGTCCGTCAATCAATAGAAAAATGCGACACTAAAAAGGAGCAGAGAAGAGGTGGTGCATGCGATTGCCAGTGACGACTGTGAGCAAACCCGCCAGCACCAACTGAGTTGCCGAGGAGCACGTTTGTGTAGAACTGGACGTCAGGCAGAGAGGACAAATAAAACAAAAGGGCAGCAAACCCTCTCGTTCAATGTCTCCTGACCGCGACACCAGAGTCAAAACACCATGGACGATAAGAGCGGCAACGCCTTCTCCAAAACATCTTGTCAAGAGGCCGCAGGACCTCAGGAAGAGAGGAAGGCAGCGGCGGCAGCCACATCGGGGGAGGCAATAAAACGGCTGGCAGGCACCTTCACGTCGAAGCGCACACCACATCCGAGTGGGCTGGGAGCACAGATCGAACCGCTCGGAAACACACGCATCAAATACGCAAAACAAAGTCGCGTTGAATCCACAGGAACTCCCCGCCCAAAACAAATTTAAAAAGTGGCGTTTTTCAGGGGGGAATCCGCTTTTCCGACGACGGCACGGACGCCTCGCAGGAATTTCTTGCAAATCTCCCTTCGCAGGTCCGCAAGAAAACGCAGCGGAATAAAAAGAGAGCGCGACGACGCAATAACAATAATCCTCCTAACGGACCAGGTGGCAGGCCGCCCTCGCGCAAGTGGAAAAAACACAACTTCACTCCGGTCTTGTCGTGGTGGTCGTCTCGCAACATTTTTTTCATTTTCCCCGCAGTCCACATTCCCCTCCCACAAATCATTTGTTCGGGCCATGTTCCTGCAGCCAAACATCGCGCTGCTGGATCCCGCGGCACAGTCCTCGGCACAGAAGTGAGGGGAGGAAGAGGGACCGCAGAAGGTGCGAGCAAATCCAAATTCGGTGGCGGTCGCTGCAGCGAAGATTGACGTCCCACGCGGTGTCCCTTTTCTAGGTCCGGTCCTCGCCGTGCCATGCTCTCAGCGTGCGGTGCGCCGGCCGCTCCAAACATCCACACGTGCTTGCGTCTCACCGTCGCTCCCAGCCCCGTTCGTTGGCTGCATCAGGGAGTCGCCATCCGGAGACGGGCATAAGGACGTTGCATCCAACAAAACCTTCAGAGGCACCCGGTGGGCCAACGACGACCATCACTGCGGGGGGTGTGGTCCTTCCGCCGCTCACTTCAAATCGCACTTCTACGCCTCCTCGAGCAGCAGCAGCAGCATAAATACACCGGTCCACCAGAGGCCGTCGCCAGCCATTGCAGGAAGACCACTGTGCCTCAGTGCTATGAAGCCCGAATTGCATTGACGGGCCACTTCGGAAAATCCTGTCGCATCCTCCCCCAATTATGCGGAAACACATCCGTCGTGCATGTGGCCACCGCAGCCAAATGAATCTGGTCCAAATACCCTCCAAATCAAATTCCCCTTTCCTCAAGCCATTCCTTCATTCCATACGCCCTGACCCTCATCCGCACGTGCTCACTCACACAAACCGCCATCGACAGATGGCGGCCGCCCAACGCTCCGAAAAAACATGCCCAGCACGCACGCGCATAACAAATGACATGCGCAAACGCACGGCACAACGGCGGAGAAGCGCACACCAAAGGAAGCGGCCCTCCACAGCAGTCGCAGCCCACCGCGCGCATCACACCCGCAGGAAGAGTGACTCGCGGTGCGCGCTCCCTCTCTCCTCCTTCCCTTCCTGCCCACGGAGGAAGCAGCAGTCACCCGCAACCGCCAGCACACGCTACAAAATAAGCATCCAAATCGAATGAAATGTGCATTTTGTGCGTGCATGTGGTTGTGTGTGCCTGCAGACACACGAAGCAAATAAGTGAAAACAGAAGCAGAGCATGTGAAGGAGCGCACAAACAAAAATGTACAGCAGAGGTGCATGGCAGAAGTAAAGAGAAAAACGCTGCTCAAGCTCATGATATTGAACTTCAGACAAAGCAGCGGCAATTCATACAAGAATTATTAGAATAAATAAAAAATTCATCTTCACCCTTCCACACCTCACACTTTGGAAAAAAGAAAAAAAACAAAAAAAGTCGTCCTCTATTACAGCTATACCCAAATAATAATAAAAAGAAAAAGAAAAAAAAACCACAAAACTCCACCCAACCACCATGTTGCTCCAGAAACTGTCTGCATATTTTGTCCGAAAATAAAATTAAAAAGATATTTAAATGTCATTCAACGTCTGACCCTCCATGTGTGTCCGCACATCGTTTATATTTCATGGGGTCATCTGCGTGTTGCTGCTCCCCTCAGCCCTCTCATCGGCGCGTGAGTGCGGCCTGCAGAGCTCAGTCACTCGTGTGTGTGGGGGGACTGAGAGAAGCACGCAGACATGACGGGAGTCGCGTCACCCCATCGGAAGAGTGAGTGCAGCAAAAAAAAAGAAAAATCATCGAAGGGAAGAGAAATGCTGACGGGACTGCCGGCGCATGAAATGCACGCGCAAAAAAACACACACAGTGAGAAAGTCAAAGAGAGCTAGCAAAATCCTAAAATCACGGCGGCAGGGTGTGGCTGTGTGTGTGGCGCTGCGGGTGTCTGCCCGCCCTGGCCGCAAAAAAGAAAACAAAACAAGAGGGAAAGAAATGTGTGCTCCGCCCCACCGTCCCTCGTCGCACGCCCACACGTCACGGCTCCCTCAGCGCGCCGTTCGTCGCGGCCCCTCCTCATGCGTGCAGCAGGCGAGGCGCACAGGGCCGTCGACATGAGCGTGTCGGTGGGTGTGCGAGTGGAGCAGTTGGGCGGGAAACACACGGCACCCCTCACAGGAAGAGTGCAGAAGAAACAAAAGAGGGAAGAGTAGAAAAGAAAAAAAAAACGTCCATAGTGATTGCCCCGGGAAGAAGAAAAAAAAGAATGGGGGATGGAGGAAATTTAAAAAACGAATTTAAAAAAATGAAAAAAATTCAAGCATAAAAAAAAAAGTAAACAACACACACAAAAAAAAAAAAGAATTTTATGAGGAAAATTTGTTCCTATGGGAATAGTATTTCTGTGCTCGGGAGGGCGCAATTGTCCCACGCGGCAGCCAGTCACGCCTCACAGAGCCGCAAACCCCCACAGTCCCAACAGAAGCAAAAGCAGCGATGGCAGCAGTCCGCTCCCAGCAGAATTCAAGCTCACCTCTGGCACAACAAATTGTACGCCCTCAGTCCAAGAGGTATTCCTCTTTGCCGCTCCACCCTCACTCACTTCTTCAACCGCATGGGGGTCCAATGTCATGGGCACCGCTGAAGCTGCGGAATTTTTCTCTGGGCCAGGTACAGCAGGTGCGACAGGTTTAGGAGCAATTTTCACTTGTTTTTCTGGAGCTCCCGTCAAAACGGGGACCCTGTCCTTGATTGCAGTCATCTCAGTGGGATTCAGTGGGCGGTTGTACAGAAAGACGTTCGTCACCGTCACAGGAGAGTTGTGCATTTCGCACGCGCCAAAGCAAAAGTATGCGAGCTCAAGTGGCCTCTCACCTGTTAACAGCGTTTCCTCTTCCCCCAGCGACTCACCATCAATGTACACAGAGGCCATTTTACCTTGCAGCATGAGTGCCACTTGGTATTCTTTCTTCGGCTCCCAAGTGCCACTTTTTATTGTTATCTTGTCATTGAACATCGTCATCCACTTTTTATCCGCGGTATACAAGATTCCCATGGTACGATTGAAATTGGTGTCACCCAACGTCGCACCCAGAAGAGGAGTGTTCTCACTCGGAGCCTCTTCGATGGTCACCGACGCCACAAGTGTGAAGTTGCGGCTCAAGAATACATGACGCACATTATCACCCCGAGTGTTCACAAGCCACATTACCCCGGAGTCAGGCTCCGTCAATTTCAAACCATCCTCGACCTTCTTTGCGTTAGTCACCGTTGCATTCAGGCAAAGGTACTCGTCGCTCCACGTGTCGTTGTTGGCCGCATCGGACAAAACTGCCACCAGACCCGCCGTGGGTATTGACAACTTGGAGAAGAAAACGTCCTTTTGCGACCAAGTACTGAGGACGGACTCGATTTTCTTCAGCTCCTCAGTCAGGCGGGAAAGTGAAATGGCACTTCCCTTATCGTTGTCCCTCTGTTGTAAAAGATGCAAATTGCCATCCGAGTACAGCAGGCTGCTGGCGAACTCCCACCTCACAGCATTCTCCGTAGCAACCGGTCCAAGAGAAAAAGAGCGGTTGTTGTCCGTGACCCAAAGGTAGAGCGCAGTGGCCCTTTTCTCCCCCGAGGTGTACCCTCTCTGAATGTACAGCATGACCTTCCTGCCCTCAATGGTCGCGGTGATGAGAGCCTCCACATGCAGGCTTCCTTTCTTGGAGTCTCCTGGTTGGGGTTTGGTCCACACGCCTGAGAGTGTTCTGACAGCCTCCGTCCACGTTGTCCCCATGTCACGCGACTCGTACACCCTCTGGCCATCCTCGCAGTCAACAATCATGAGAAGTGATCCCTCCCACTCGGTGATGCGGGGTCTAAGGCATTTCGCAGGGGAAACACCCGTTGAGAGCGACCATTTTTCGCCGTCGTCCGTCGAGTAAATGATCATGGAGTAAACGTCACCATTTCCGCTCTTCGCCATCAGAGAAAACACAAGCGTGCCATCCTCCATCAGAACACCTGAGTCACCAGAAGCAATGCACTCCGTCGAGTTAACTTTATGAGCAGCTAAAGTAGTCTTGTTGAACGGAGACTTGATTTCGCCCCATGTGATCCATCCACTTGGCCCTTCGCCCGCAGAAGGCTTCGTGACTTCACCCACAACCAGTTTTAGTTCGAATCTGCCCTCTTTCCAATTCCCACGACTTTCATTGTGCACATCAACGCTTCCCGCAAGAAGAAACACCTTATTGCCCTTCGTCGTTGTTGTTGGATTGAGTAAAATACCCACACGATTATTTGCTCCATCCGTTGTACCAAGCACGGTGTGTGGCTTCCATGTACTTTCCCTCACCTTGCCAGCGAGAGTGGACCAATCCCACGAAGAGTCGATGTACTCCGCAACAACATCAGAAGAAAAGTGCTTAATTAATACATCATCAGTGTCATAGTGGCCATACACGTAACCTTCGGCAAAAGCAGCAATTACTCCACCAGCACTGACAAGAGAAGGTGCAAAAAACGAATTCCACTTCGTCCCCGAAGTACCTCCACCTTCCGGCAGCACCGGCGTCGTCTGCGGCACTAATAGATCGACCCATTGCAGCTCCTGAACACTTCTTAAATCACTGTTGCCATCATTCTCCTTTGCAGGCGTAGCTCCACAGGTGGCGCAGCACATCGTCGTGACGAGGAGCAGCAGCATCGCGAAATTAAACACACGCCGTGACATGTTGGTCCTCTGCGGCTCACTCTCTCTTCCCTCCCTCCTCCTTCCGCAGGATCCGGTCACGCGGCGACGGTTGTGTGTGCGGGGTGCCTTGACAGCTGCAGCAACACGTGAAAGCATATAAATATGTGTGTGTGTGTGCTGTTGGTCCTTTCAGAGCCTTCGAATTTCACGGTAGCAAGTAGCGCTTTTTTGCTTTCTTTAGTAGCGTGTCTGTGTTCAAGAAGTGGAGAGTACAGCAGCAACAGCGGCAATACACCAGAAAGGTCAGTGAGGAGCAGAGCAGAGCACCCACGCAGAGAGCAGGAGAGAAGAAAACCCGAAAGGGACGGCACGGAGGACCATCGCCCACAGAAAAGAGCAGCAACACGGCAAGTCACGGCGGGCCGTCGGTGTGTGCGGGCCAGCCCTCACGCGGTGCAACACGCCACACCCAACAGGGAATGACAGACAGACAGGCGGAGGGAGAGAGATGAAAGGATGCCGTCAAGAGGCACTCACAATCAACATGGCCCGTGAGCATGCGGCCACTCCACGCAGGAACACAGGAGAAAAGGGTGAGAAGGAAAAAAAGCAAGAAGTAGCACAAAGCACACAAAACAAACAAATTATAATCGGGAAAAGCACCGCCACAGCCCTCGTCCTGGCCAGCGACTCCACACCAGCCCTCACACACACACACACACACACACACAATCGCAGTGCTGTCAGTCCGCGGGTGAGAAGATTCGGCCCTTAAAAACAAACGCACACACCGCCAGCAGTCACCTACCGTGGACGAGGAGGAACAACACACAGCCTCCGCCTCCAGCTCAATCCCACGGCCAACGGGATACGGCCACAGCCCCGCAGCCAGCACACAACGCACGCGGAGCAAGCAATCACCCAAAGAGCCACATGCGGAAACGGATCCTCACCCATCCATGACGCGGCGCCTCACTCCACGCGGTCACACGAAGCGCACTGTTTCCTCAATAGAACTTATGCCTCGTCCATCCCTTAAAGATGCTTCCTTTAATGATGGGGCTTAGAACACCATAGAAGAAAATGGACAACGCAGTCATACTGCAACAATGCCAGCCACAATCATCCTCCAACTAAGGCGCAATTCTCCAATTATGCCTCGTATGCACGAACAAGTAACATACCATAAGAAAATCACCCAATGTTTTTCACCAAAAACCAAGCAACCCCATGCCCTCCCTAATTTCTTCGGCCACCGCTACGAACAATAGCGTTGGACATTTTGGCATTCGTGTGCGGTGCCACCGCCTGGTGCTGGTGCACCTGCAGCGTATGCACACATAAGCATCCAAAAATATATATATCCAAAAGTGTTTTTTTTTACTAAATCAAAGCTGCCCCATTCCCCAATTTGCTCTCCTATTTCCGTGGTTATTCCTCACTTCGGAGAGCTGCATATCCGCTAAAGTCCCCGGATGATATTGACACTTGGTACTGGCGCACCTTTTCCTTCCAGGACCCCGTCATTTCACGGCTTTCATCGTCGCTCACATTATCGGAATTGTCGACACCACATCTCTGCCAGTCATTCATCGACGTGCTGTCTGCGTGCTGCACATAAATCATCTCCCACGACATGTCTCGGGATAAATTCCTCCCAACCACTAAAATATGCCGCCAGGCACTCAGTGAACTGCCTCACAGTGCTGGTTATCGTGTGATGCCCACCCGCCGTAGCCATCCGCAGCCCAGCCAGCGTCTTCCGTCGTGACTCCACAAAGAAAAAAAGGGGTCCACCAGTGGAAAGTTCCCAACCGCCGGTGTGCACAGCAGCCGATACTTCAAATTTTCCCTCTCAGAAGAATTCTTCAATGAAACCAATCCATATGAATCGTTGGGGTGCCCTTGAGGTTTAACGTTGGCACTGCGTACTGTCCTCCACAACTTGCTGATGGCTTCAGCTCAAGGTCCTCTGCTAATGCACTGGCAAACTCCCCAAAAAATGAACACTCGCAAGCCAAACCCTCTCATACATTCAGACAAAAGAGTATTCGTCTTCCCCAATACCAGCAACAAAAAAAAAATATCTTTCTCACTCATCACGTTTCCCAAAATAGTGCGTTATTCGACGCCCGAGGCAAAGCGATATCGGTGCGTTAAGAAACCCCTCAGCACCGACCTCTCCTCTTGCTCGGACAACCCTCACGAGCTTTTGAGACGGATTCTCAGAATACCACAGTCTCAGTCCACCAGGTATAAAGTGCCTTTCACCATCCCGAGACTGGACCCCATCCAAGGATTCCTCAGTGGCAGCAGAGTGTGCAATGAACTTCTTCGCATCAAAGATGTAACGTGGAATCGGCCCCACTTTATCCATGCGTCCTTTGACCATCCTCCAGTATTCCGCTTGCTCATCAGTAGTCCCATCGCGATTCATCCAGGCGCACACCGCCTTCACATCCATCCCGTCGGAGCAATTCACAATGATTCGCTCGGCGTTTGCTTGCGTCTCCCATTCACCATAGTTGCGCACGTTTGGGGATGCCACCACAATCATGCCCATTCATCAAAAACCGCAGAATCTTTCTCTGGCGGTGTTCCTTTCTCTGTCACATCGTAGATAATGTACCCCCTTCATCTTCAAATGCCACAAATCATACAAAAAGTCCTGGGATATTTTTCTACCCACGTATCTTGTCACCGTCTGGATGGTCTTGTCAAACACATACGTCGTGCTTCCACCAAAACAGCGGACTACCACTTGGAGTTTCTCGACATCGTAGTGCAGCAGCTGGTAGAGAAGGTACGAGCCGGCAGCCATCGACTTCCCGATCTCGGGCATCCCAATCAACACACGCCGCCCAGACGTAAAGTAGACCCCAGGAAGACTGTTGAACCACTCGGTGAGATCGCCCCCTGACGATCCGCCACACTCGCTCCACCTCACAGTTCACATGGCAGTCACGAGTGGATTACTCCCCACCCACCTAAAGAGTACGGCCACCCCTTGTCCGAGGTGAGCACCATCAGCCTGAGACTTGCTGCACCGGATTGCTCCACACCGTCATTCTTTTCGAGAGTGTCGCCAACTGCCCTGCACGTCCATTACTGCGGTGGTTCCCCCTCCCTCACATCCTTTCCCGTCCCCTCGCCGCCAGGAACTTCCACACAATGATGCCACCTCGCACCGTACACAGACGCGCACAGTCCCCTCAGTTTTATCGGTGCGCTCGACTTCTTTGGGTTCCTCGCCCCCTCGGCGGCTGCATCCAAAACTGTTTGGTGACTTCATGGACAGTTGCTTTTACTGCTGCTGCAGCTTCTCAACACGTCAGTAGACTGTCCACACAATGACCATGAATCCTGCGTACACCTTCCTCCAAATCCATCCCATCCCTTACAGCCCTCTCCATCCTCACGTAGCAATCCGATGTCTTTATTTCGTTCAATGCCCCCGCACCGTGGATATGCCTCGCAGGGTCCCCTGAAAAACTCCTCCAGCAAGACATTCCCATTGTTGTCCGCAACGCCCCTGCCGTCCAATTCCGTCGTAAGAACATCATGCAGCTTCATTTCCTTGTAGCAAAACCTCCCTTCAAACAGTACATCTTTGATATTAGTGGATACGGTAAATTTTTTCGCTGCTCCAAGTCTCGCTGTACCACGTCAGGAGCTGCATCGAGTTTCCCATTGCAAGAGAAGTGACCGTATCCTTCCATTCGAAGCCTCTCCACTGATGAGGAAAGAACACGCCTTCCTCAAGTTTGTCTCTAGCCTCCAATAGTCTTTTCCTCCCATCCAGCTCTTGGTATGACGGCAATGCCGTTATTATGCGTAACCACCTTTCGCCTCGGATATACATCTCGGGACACTGAGCAAACACCTCCATCGTCACATTGTATCTTTCACCAACGACCGCCATGGAGCCAACATAACTCCAAAGGAAATCATTGAGCCTCATTTTGGTGCTGAGAGTGTATCCGTCCAGCAGTACATCTTCCACCCGACTGTCAACAGTCCGCTGCGGTTGCCCTTTACTCCCCGCCACATGTCGAGTCGCAGCGTCGGAACCATCACCAGAGCCGCTGCGAGGCGCCACCACAACGCCCGTGCGGCGAAGCATCCCACTCGCACCGCCCAACTGCGGCCAACAGGTGCCGCTGGCTCCAAAGGACAGTCGCGGCTGTTTCGTCCCGCAGTCCCAGTGGCGTTGCGCGCGGCACTCGCACGGCGGAGTGGTCGGTGCGCCACGCAGCCGCACTGCAAAGCATGTCGGCGAAGCAGTCGAGGTCCACAGCCCCCGCAGCAACGCAACGTGCAATCGGCAACAACACCGCCACATTATCGCAATTTTTATTTATTCAAGTGGCCTCTCTGTTTGCCCTATCCCTGACAATAAAAATAAGTGCACGCCTTCACAGAAGGAGGGGAGGGAAAAACGAAGGCACGATCCCACCGTCCCGCCGCGGGCCAACACTCTCCTCCACCCACCGCCATCGCCGCACAGGAGACCGCAGTCACATCGCAGAGGAAGCACCACAATGTGCACCGCAAAATCGTGCACTGAACGTTGGGCGAGACGCGGCCAGGCATCGCCCCGCTCCATTTTCCCACCCTTAAGTCTTGCATGCCCGCAAAAAGCAGCAAACAGAATCAGAGTGCACACAAACCGAATCATCCCCCTCACTCGCTGAAGCACAGTATTCGCATGGAGTGACATTTGAACACACCAGCAATAGCAGGCCGCATGCAATTTACCTGCCAACCCTGCAAAGAGACACAACAACTCTACGGAGTAAAAGTGACAGCCCCTCGGTGTTGCCCGCAGTTCACATGGCAGGACAAATTACACGCACGCATGGTTCCGGATCCCTCGCTGTTTGAGTGCACATCAACAGAACAAGCAAAAAACACGTGCGCACAAGATGGCATTTAATCACACAAAATCATCAGCCCTCTGGCTCAGCCGGCCACCTCAACGTGGTGCCAGGGTCTAGTACTCTTTGCCAGAGAGGAGTCTAAGTGCCTGCTGTCCACGCTTCAAGTCCGATGAGTACTTGTTACTTGGTTTTACGGGCCGGAAGGGCACATGATGCAGCCAGTTGTAATGGCTGCCCGCAGGGTAAGGTTATCCTTGCTGCTGTATTCCATCGTACGCTTACCAGAGCTGCACATTGGAGGTGTAGTTACTACGACTGGTACGAGCAGAAAAAAGTCGTCAGCCTGTTTTGTCCGATGGCGCTAGAGAGCAATCCCACACAATCCAATCGAAGCAACACGCCGGACAAAATGTTGTCAGTTAATAATAAATAAACAAGTAATTGCGCCAACACAAAAAAAAAAGCAGCTGGATTTCGATTTGCACCCCACTTCTGGGCAACAGTGGCATGAGAGTGTGTACGTGTGCAAGACCTTTCGTGGGACGGTGCTGCCCAATCCCTCCATGCCCTGGCACAAAAGGGGCAACGGAAAAACGAAGAGCACACTCTCCAGAAAAGGAGCGACGGTTGGGCAGTCGGCCCACGTTTCGTCTCACACGGCATCCACATGTGTGCACTCCACCTCAAATACGTACCTCCCTGGACGCCGCATACATGACGTGTGGTTTCGTCACCCGCAATGTGTTTTTCCTCCTGTAAACATCAAAAACGATGGCCATGGCGCAGCTCCACTCAGGGGAAGCACAATCGGAGCAGACACGGGTGGAAACCAGAGATCATACAAAGAAAATAATAAAAGGTAATAACTCCTCCAATCCACGGATCCGTGCAGTGTTCATCCCTCTTCTTTTGAGTGAAACCTCCTCAACAGAACAAATGCAACAGACACATGTGCAGCACAATATCCTCCTCTGTCCTGCGTTCCATCTTACTCCCCATGCGTGCAACGGCGGTGGTGTCTGCGTTAAGTCTGGGATGACTGCAAATATCAGGCACCATGCTGCGGAGAGTAGACGCTTGACGAACGTGGCCGCATTAGCGTCTCACAGGAAATAACATCAAAAAGAAAAAACATCTGCGACTCAAGCTACCCGTGTGTGGCCGTACTAAAGCGAACACTGAGACACGTGTGGAGCGACGTAAAAAAAAAAGAGGAGAGAAGGAAGAAATAATGAAACAATCCACAGAAATACATCGGTATATATATACATACACAAAGTAATACACCATTCCACATAATTCTTCGTTCTTCCACTTGTTGCTTGTTCTACACAACATCAGAAGTACAAAAAGCGACAGGCATGCCCTCCCACACAGTCATCGTGGGACAGGGGAGAGTCACTGCAGGCACCCGCACAAGAATAGAAACAATGCACAGGAAAACAGCAACAATGCCGTTGCAGAGACCGATGGGTGGCTGTGGTGCGCAGCAGCAGCGGCCCCACGCCCTCCCTCATCGACAAGCAACGCACACGTCCTAATTTCATTTAGTGAAAGCCACAGAAGAAAGTTGTCGGTTTTTTATCCCTATTTTTTTTCAAATTCGATGACCCGCAAAGCAGCCGCCATCGCAGAACACGCTCTCATTACTGAGTAAAAATCGGAATAAGAACCCCGGCCCCCGGAGAAAGCGTGCAACACACACCCGTGACACAGACGCCCCGGGCTAGCGCGATACCTCGATAATCCGTCGTTGCCAAAATCGATAAAGTAAAAACAACTCAACCAACCAAGCATTCTATAAGTAATAATGATAAATAAATATATATATATATATATATTGCCAAAAGCGTCTACGTTATACCGCATCCATGAGGAGCTTCGTACCTTCTCACCACGTGGAGGTACTGTTTGGGCAGACACCTACCAACTCGAGAAGAAACTGCGCCGACTTTCTTGAGCAGCACAAATTCAGTACTTCTCCGGCGTGAAACAATCAACCTTGCATCCTGCATTGGATGCGCGGTCGAACAGGCTCAAGGCGTCTGAGCGGGTGTCACCGGCCATGAGCTGCAACAACACCGCAGGTGATCGGTACGACGACGCAACGGTGGTGCCTGAGGCGTACGACGATGACGTCACGTCCTGCGGCTTCTGCGTCTCTTCGTCGCCATGCTCGTCATCGCACAGCAGCGCCTCCAGCCCACCACGCCGCGGCTCGCGCAGCTCCTGCCAGTGGCGGTCCTCCGCGTACCACACAACGACGCTGTACACAGTGGCCGCAAGCAGCACAGTCGTCAGCAGCAGCACGATAGCCGCGTACGCCCTCGCACCGCCGTCGCTCGGCGCAAGATGTTTGGCCGCGCTCACCAGGCACAGTGCCGCAAGGAGCACAAAGCTCGCAGTCTGCATCACCGTCAGAAAGGCCAAGCGCATCATGTTCGTGAAGGCAACCACGCCCGTGCCCGCAAGCAGCACAGCCGCCATGCAGAAGTACTGAACGTGGCAGCCTCCCCACGGGCGAGGC